GATAGATAGATAGATAGATAGATAGATAGATAGATAGATGATAGATATAGATAGATAGATAGATAGATAGATAGATAGATAGATAGATAGATAGATAGATAGATAGATAGATGATAGCTAATCGATATAGGATGGATAGACGGACAGACATAGATAGATAGATAGATAGATAGATAGATGATAGATAGAGATAGATAGATAGATAGATAGATAGATAGATAGATAGATAGATAGATAGATAGATAGATAGATAGATGATAGATATAGATAGATAGATAGATAGATAGATAGATAGATAGATAGATAGATAGATAGATAGATAGATAGATAGATAGATGATAGCTAATCGATATAGGATGGATAGACAGACAGACAGACAGAAAGAAGATAGGTAGATAGAGAGGGGTGGGGTAGAGAGAGAGAGAGAAATGTTGTTTTCAAAATAATCTAAGACAGTGATGGCAAACCATTTTCTTGTGGTGTGCCAAAAGCGTGCAAATACCGGCACCCACAATGCAATGAAACACACACACACCCCCGCACATGCGTGCACGACCTCCCCCACCCCTTTACCTGCCCTGTGCATGCGCACACCTCCCAACTGATTTTCGGTCCTTTTGAGGCCTTTTTACGCCTCCCGGAGGCTGGAGGGAAGCCTCTGCAGCCTCGGGAGGCCGAAAAACGGGCTTTCCGGAAATACTGGCCCGTTTTCAGCCTCTGGAGCCCGAGGGAGGCCGTTCTCGCCCTCCCGGGGGCTTGTGGGAAGCTTCTGCAGCCTTTGGAGGCCGAAAAACAGGGCCCGTTTTGGCACTTCCGGTATTTCCTCAAAAGGGCCCAAAAACCAGCTGGGAGGCGCGCACCTGCGCAGTGCTGGTAAGTTTGGCTGGAGCTCACGTGCCCACACAAACGGCTCTGTGTGTCACCCGTGGCCCGCGTGCCATAGGTTCGCCCTCGCCGATCTTAAGAATTGGACAAAATGGTTCCCTCATCCATCCATCTGAACGGTTGCAAGTCAAGGACTTACCTGTACGTTCTCCAAGCGACGTGGCCCAGAAGGCGATGCTAAACTGCACATCCCAGCCCACTTCAGCACTTGGGTGCTGGGAGTGGTGCTGGAAACGTCAGCTCTTCTATACTGGGTCAGCCACGAGGCCCGTTAAAAGACTGGAAGTGGGGACGGTCTGGAGGCCCCCACCTGGATACTCACCGCTTTGATCTCGCGGTCCAGCAGCTGCCAAGGGCAGGAGTAGTTGTCGTCTATGTAGGGGCACTTGACCTCTGGTTCTGGGCTGTTCAGGATGGTTCCCCTCAAGCAGTCCCTGAGGAGGCAGGGAGGAAGAACCGAGAGCATCATCAAACGGAACCGCGCCTAGAACTTCCGCCGAACTCGGGTGTGGCCACGAAGAACTCTGAAACCCTTGGACACTTTTTAGGAGAGGATATATCCCTAGCTGAGGATTGAACCGTGGGGGTCCCTGGGGTTCTCTGAGCTTGATGCTGCTAGCACGGATGAGGTTACCGAGTTTGGTAATGAGACGCCTGCAAGAAAACAACGAACGAACAACTCGGCAAGGACCAAAGACCTCATGGTCGTTGTCTGCCCCGCTTCCTCCTCCTCTTCTCTGCAAACCCCACTCCCTTCCACTACGGATGATGTTATCTAGTTTGGTTATGAGAGGTCTGCAAGAAAACAGCCAAGCTCAGAGATCACCAAAGACCCTACAGTCCTCCTCTTCTTCCTCCTCCTCTCCACAAATCCCACACCCTCACACCCTTCCAGCACTGATGATGTTAGCTAGCTGGGTCATGAAAGATCTGCAAGAAAACAGCCAAGCTCAGAGAGCATCAAGGACCCTACAGTCGTCTCCTCCTCCTCCTCCTCCTCCTCCACCTCCTCCTCCTCCTCTTTGCAAACCCCACTCTCTTCTAGCACTGATGATATTACCTAATTTGGTAATGAAATGTCTACAAGAAAACAATGAACAACTCAGAGAGCACTAAAGACCCCATAGTCTCCTCCTCCTCCCCCCCTCCTCCCTCCACAAATCCCACATCCTTCTAGCACTGATGATGTTCCCTAGTTGGGTCATGAAATGTCTGCAAGAAAACAACCCAGCTCAGAGAGCACCAAGAACCCCACAGTTCTCCTCCTCCTCTTTGCAAACCCTTCTAGCGCTGATGATATAACCTGGTTGGGTCATGAAACGTCTGCAAGAAAACCACCCAGCTCAGACAGCACCAAGGACCCCACAGTCCATCTTCCTCGCCCTCCTCCCCCTCCTCCTCGTTTCCTCCTTCTCTTCTCCTTTTCCTTCTCTTCCTCTCCTTCTCTTTCTCCTCCTCCCCCTTCCTATTTCCCCCCTCCTCCCTTCTCCTTTTCCTCTTCTTCTTTACAAACCCTACTGCCTTCTGATGATGTTACCTAGTTGGGTCACTAAACGCCTGCAAGAAAACAATCAAACTCAGAGAACACAAAGGACTCCACAGGCCTCCCCTCCCTTTTCTCCCCATTCTCTTCCACTCTGCACACCCCACTCCCTTCTAGCACAGATGATGTTCCCTAGTCAGGTCACAAAACGTCTGAAAAGAAAGCCACCAAGCTCAGAGAGCCCACCAAGGACCCCAAAGTCCTTCTCCCTCTCCTCCTCCTCCCCTTTTTCTTCTCATCCATTCCACTCCACTACCTTCAAGCACTGATGATGTTACCTAGTTGGGTCATGAAACGTCTGCAAGAAAACCACCCAGCTCAGAAAGCACCAAGGACCCCACAGTCCTCTTCCTCCTCTTTGCAAACCCCACTCTCTTCCAGCACTGATGATATTACCTAATTTGGTAAGGAAACGGGTGCAAAAAAAACACAAAAAACCCACCAAGCTCAAAGAATATCAAGGACCCCAATTCTTGGCCACCAAGAGCTCAAGGCTCATGATTTGATTCGGACAACTGCCGGAATCCTGACACCCATTTTAGATGTCCCCCTAAGACCATCAAGGGTAGGAACCAGCCGTTCCCCTAGTCGGGTGTCCAATGGTGTAAAACGCATCTCAGATCTCTCTGTCCCCAAGAGATCATCCAGCTTTTCCTCCTCTGCCTTTTGACCAGGCCTCGATAACAAAATCCTGGGCGCGTTTTGGAAGCAAGGCTCACTTGCAGAAGGAGTGGAGACATTCTCGCAGGGTGACTCCCTCTCCGGCTTCCAGGTTCATGAAGCAGATGGGGCACTGAATGGCTTCCTCCGAAAGCACCAAGTTCTGGTTGTCCCAGTGCAGGAGTTGCTTGTAGTTTCTCTCTTTCTCTTCTTCCTCCACCTGGAGCCCCAGAGAGAGAGAGAGAGAAGGGGAGCACTTGAGTATTTTTTTACCTGGGTGACTTTTTGGAGGGGTGGCTTTTATGGCCCAGATCTGGCTGGGTGGGATTCAGCCGGTTCGGGACGGTTCGAGCGAACTGGCTATTAAATTTACACCTGGTTCGCCAAACCAGGAGTTGAACCAACCGGCTGGCCCCGCCCA